TTTGTGTTGAAGCCTGGCTTCCTGCAAAGAGAATAAAATGTTTTGTTTAAGTGCGGTTAAATGTACCATCTCCTTTCCACATCACAAGCTTGAATCTCTGGTCATCGTCTCTTGACTTCACCGTTGTTTAAAGAGGTCTGACTCTCAGGTGAGCCTTAAACTTCCAACCATCCTTTTCTCCGACATTCTCCCACGATTTATCTTGGAAATGGATTATTTCCCAATCGAATGCAAAAGCATAAATTAATCTTTGTAGCTTTCCACGACTGAGTGTGCAGCTGTGCTCTGCTCATGCCAAGCCAAACAGCTGGGGAGCTTCTGTCCCAGGTGGCGACCCAGGAGGGCAGTTTCCTGACCCAACCTCAGATGTGCTGCCTTCTTCCATGAGGTGCAGACAGAAACATTGTGTGGTTATTACTTATACAATAACACCTGATGAATTATAGGATTTCTTTCTTAAAACCACAACTGTCTAAGTCAAAAATTTAATGACAAAATAATATTCTTGCAGGTGTAAATCTTTCACCCTTAAATCCACTGCAGACTGTGCTGCCGCCCAAACTAAACAAGACAGAGCAACCAGCAAAGCAGCGTGGATACAAACTGTACTGCTGTCAGTCAGTGATGAAAGTCATTTCCTCCTGATGATCTGCTCAATCTAACATCTTATGCTTCTAATTTCTTTCACTGTTACGTTATATTCAGCAATATTTGGTGTAATAATTCCCTTGTAAACTGCATTTTAGGCAAGGTCGCTGAAGTTTTTTTAAGTTTAAACACATTCATCAATGGATGCGAGGTCGCAGAGCAGCTGCTGCCGGTCGTTACTTTATCAAATTACCATCAGATCAAGTCTTTTCCAATTGCTAAAACTACCTAACTTTAATGTCATGACTAGAAAGTGAGCAGCATCCATTAAAGGCAGCATCTTTATTATCAGACCAAACTATTGAAGAGTTTAAAAAAAACTAATCTTCTAGCTGTTTTTGGTGAATAATATTGTTTTAATCTCTTTTTTTTGTACAATGATTAATTTTGTCTAAGAAATAAGACAAAAACTACCACCTTCACTAACCCGTTGGATTAGAGACCTAGATCCTATATTTTCTCAGCCGAAGCTGTCTGTAGCAATGTCTATTTAAAGTTATTTAGCTATTTGAACATGTCTTGTATTTAGCATTTGTGGTTTGATGTGTTGGTTTTAGTTTGTTTGTATGTTTGGGGATTTATTGTTCTTAAAAAAAAGAAAAATGTACTACATTGTGATAAGTGCTATGCTATATACTGCAGAACTCCTTTGTTCCTCAAGCCATTAACCTGTACAGCTCTTCACTTGGGGGAAGAAGGAGGTGATAGGAAGAGGGACTAGGATAAGCAACCCCTCCTTGGACATCTTCTGCAAAATATTACCTATTATCACTCATGTGCAATATTCTTCTCTCTCACTGTGCAATAACCCATTCCAACTACTGTGTAGCCTGTGTTTGTGAGAGAGCGTTATGCTCTCTGCTTTTTTTCGTAGTAGCTTTGCCTCGTCTGTTCCTGTTTGACTTTGACTCCATCCTGGAGAGAAATACCAGCTGTTCTGCTTCCATCAACACCCTTGTTTACAGATGTTGGAGATCGGCCTGTTTTTCAGTGTAGTCCTGTTTCTCTGACTGTGACTGGCTGGATGTGCTCTCTTCATCCTCTGACATGGGAGTTAGATCAGAGCTCGTCTGCGTAGAAGTGTGTTTCCTGGACGGGGGCGCCTTCTTTCTCCTTGAACCCCAGTCGGCCTTAGCAGATTTTCCTCTCCACTGTCACTACAAGCATGCTTGCATTTGAGTCAATGAGTTGATGCAATCAAGTTTTAATTAGATAGAAAATCGATTGAATCAATCTGACTGTATGATCTGGTTGAACTGTAAAGTGCCTTGAGATGACATGTGTTCTGAATTGATGCTATAGAAATAAACTGAGTCGAATTGAATTGTGTTTTTACTTATTTATAAGGTCAGTACATCTCTGCAGTACCAATGCTTTAATTCAAGTCAACTACTTTGTAGTAGTATGAACAAACAGCATGTTTAATCACTGAAGCTAAACACATCAGATTCTTGCCTTTACGGCAGATTTTCTAGGATTTGGCCCAAAGGCCTCAGGATGATTTTATACAGCCCTAAACTACAATTTAGGATTGATTTAATTTAGTTTTTCAACCTAGTCTAAACATCTTAGTGTAAGTTTTAGTGATGAGAAGCTTATCAAAAAGAGTTCCAAATGAACATTTTCTATCAAGAGCAAATGTTGATGAAAATTCACCCAGAAAAATCCAGACCAAGAAGTCAACCAAAAACATTTAATATTTGTTTCATTTAACCACAGAAACCTTTGTGATTGATTGTTTTGATCTAAAGTGACATACAGATCACTTTTCTACAAAAATGTATTAATTTTCTTTTTTTTTTTATTGAAATACTGTGTTTTTTTTGTATTTTTTTAATGAGCAGGTAAAAAAAAATATTTCTTTTCTTTCGTCCTCCAAAGCTCTTTTGATTCCCATTTTTGGACCAATGGCAAAACGTTTGAACACCTCTTCTTTACAGAGAGACAAGAGTTTAAAACCTCCTCAATACGTTTAGAATACAATAGCATTATAACAAATCTAAAATCTAAAAAAGTGGAATTTGTGTCATATAGGTCACCAAAAACTTGATTTAAATCAGTAATATAAATCAGAAAATAAAAATCTGCTAGTAAATAGCTTCAATGTATTTTATTCCTTCCTTTCTTTTCATTCTCATAACTGTAGCTAAAAGCTAATAAAAATCCAACATTCTTTTTATCAGAAAGTTTAAATAATGAAGTTATAAAAATGATTCATACCCTGGTGGGATTAGATGGAAATTATTTCTATTAAACAAAGACGTCTGCTTTTGAGAGGGATGACTTAGAATGGAAAATCAACGATGAAAGGGCCATGCTTAAAAAAAGATATTTGTTAAGAATTTATTAAATGTATTATTTATAGCCACTTTGATAACTCTCAGATAATTGTTTTGGCTTTGCTGACAAACATGTCCTTTTTGATTATTTTTCTTTAGTGCCAAGTCTCTGTGACCTCTGTACCATCACCCTAATCTTTGGCTCCTTTCACAGATTCTCCATGCAATTAATGATGATTCTGTCCAGACCAGTAGAACCATGATCAAAATAAAATATCAGTACGATCTAAAAATTGATGCAGCTGTGAATAATTTCAGGTTTAACTTTACTAAAGACCAATAAAAAAATACTAATCTTTTAAAATATATCAAAACTACAATGAAATATGACCTACTACTGTACAGGATCTGTACTATAACCTTGTTGGGGTTGTTGTTAGAAAAGATCCATGTGACATTGCTGAGGTTTTAAAGAAGTAAAGACCTTTAGTTCCTCTCTATTTTTGTGTCTGGTATTGCTCATCTTGCTCTTGGCTTAAAAAAAAAACAGATTTTCTCAGGGGTTCATTTCTAGGCAGTTTTCTGGCCTCCTCTCACTTTTTATTAAGTCTTCTTAAAGCACTCTATTAACAGACATTTAGCCACGGTCATTTGTAACTGAAACCTTTGTGATGGAGTAGAAAACAACTGTCACGGATTTCCCTTTAAATGAAAGCCAAAACATTTTGGCAATCCCTTTTGAACTGGTCTAAATGTAGTAAAAATGTGTTTATTTTTCTAAGAAAATAAAGACTTCTGACCAATCTGCAACTAAACGGCAGTTGCTTTGTAAAACAATGTCAGTCCAGGTCATACGCTGCCTCTCGCCCTATGACCAGCCTCCCTTTAACCCTACAAGGTATTTAGGTTCTGTAAAAGGTTGAAACAATTCATTGGATTAATGGTTTATGGAAATAATCGTCTCCTAATTGAGTAATCAATTGTTAACTTGAATGTAAATCATTACTTTAGCTGACAGAGCAACCCACTTAGAGCAGTAATTATACCAAGATTGTAATAGAATGTAAAAATTCTGTATTCAAGATAAAAATCTCCTCTATCCAGAACTCCTCAAGTAAAAAAGTTTCAGTTTAACCAGGTTTAATTTTGTACAGTCTTATTTAGGAACCTTTGACTGTCCGGTAATTAATCAATGAATCAAAATAAGTAATCAACAGATTAATCAATAAGCAAAATAATCGTTTGTTGAAGCCAGCCCTAGATCCAAAAGCCAGTTCGTCCAAACGAATAATCAGCAAACTGCTTTTTCTGACATTTCTTAAAAGTTTTTGTGATTTTATGAGTCAAGGATGAGACTTCTGTGTTAAACAGGAAATAATGTCACACATTTAAGAAGAAGCTTTATTCATTTAATTTATTAAGATGCTACATAGTCCAACCAGCTTGGGTTGTTTTTGTTGTTTTTTTACACCAGACTACTTGACTAAAGAGATCTACCCATCTTCTTAGATAGACTTTTTATTTATGTACATAGAAAACAGTTTGAGTGCTTACAATGATCACGGTGATGTTCGGACACTCAAGGAAGGTTCATTCTAGAACACTTTATAACCAGGCCTGAATCAATTAGTGTTTACACATAACTGCTTTATTTGGGCAGCCCCAAACCAGTGTCGTTTACAGCATCAGGATCAAATGTACAAATTAGATAACTGAGTTATATAAGGAGGGGGGTTAAAGTGAGATCTGTGTCAAACATTTGTATTCTCTGAAGTGAACAGAACTAAAGATAAAAGAACCTTTGTGGAACTGAAGTGCAGCTGCGGTCCGGTCCGCTCTGCCCTCCCTCCAAGTAAAAAGTGAACCTCAACCCAAAAACTTCACAGAGATACAGTAAAAACACAAACTCATGTTTATTTGAACTTTCTTCCCCACCAATCAGATCCATATTAAACACTTCCTCCACGCAACAGAAAAAAATATATAGAACATTTCTGACATTTTTATTTATTTCTCAGCAAACATGAAACGGAAGATTTTATTTTTTAATTAGCTGTTAACTTGTTTTATTTGTACACAGTGGGATAACAATATCACCGACTGCTTGTTTTACCTTCAGTGAAAGCAAAATAAGAATCCCCTTCAACCATATTTAATGATAATCTGTGACTTATGGATGAAAGCCTGTAGCATCGTTTCATCCCCCCCACCCCCAATACCGTCGTTATAACCTGGCTGCATTCATTCACTGCTGCTGCTTTAGACAACAGCAGAGCTGTTATGACTTTTTGAAAGATTAGTGCTTTAACGTGTGTGATTCAGAACAGAGATGAATCCACAATGAAACAAAGAAGGGAAAAGAAATCCAGCAGTGGGGAACAGCTTTAGCATTTGGCAGATTTTTTTCATGCATTTCCTAGAAATAAGACAGAATGTCAACAAATGTATGGCTCAACAGAAGATGGAGCAAAACAAGAGCGTTTTTATCCCCCTGTTGCAGTTAGGATGTGGTCACAGGCCCCTGCTGATGTCAGGGAAAACTATTTGATCTGCCTTAGTTTGGTATCATATACTGTAATTACTCCTCCATCTTGGCCTGAGAATAACTTTTTCAAACAGGTCACAAGGCAAAGCTTTCATACTGTATAGAAACTATCCAATCGTCACTTCAGTTCTACTGGAAAAGTTTGTCTGATTTACCTCCTACCCAAGAAAAAAAAAAAATAATTCAAACAATGCAACTGTGAGGAAAAAAAAAAAGACAAAGAAAGGAAAAAAACAGCAATTAAATTGTGCAAATTTACAGTCAAATGACAAAAGCAATTAAATTAGATTCAAAAGTCCAGATGCAACACTCGTGTGAACGCATGCAAACATCCTCATTTGACAATAAAGGGTGTAATCAGTGACTGGCAGGTAATGGGAATAAATTAGGGCAGAAAGAAAAAAAGCGTGAGGAAATAAAAACACCTGTTGTAGTGTTTCTTACACTGACCAAAGCGCTTCTCCAACAGGAGAACGTTTTACAGCCCTGTGTGCAAACCCAACTGTTTGGATCCTCCCTCCCTTAAAACGGGTTTCCACCTTAAGGAGAACCTGGACCAACCGAACTGTGGAGTCGTTGGTTAAAATCGGCTCTGATGTGCATCAATTAGAAAAAAAACTATCTGATAAAATGACATTTGCACAGTGGCGACCAGAGAGGTCGCATCAAACTCTACGTCACCAGTGTTAGAGGATTCATTGAGCTGAATTACCAGTTAAAAGATGAATCGGTTCCCCCACCGACCAGTGAAACGAACCGCCTGAAAAACACGAAACATTGGGAGGAAGGCCAGAAGGATTATGTGATGATAACGCAGGTTTGTTTGTTCTTAAGATGAGTCTTTTTTCCTCTTTTCTCTCATAGATTACCCTTTAAGTTAATTGGTATATATTTTTTTTCTTTTTACATAAATGGGACTGAATCAAAACTAGTACCACCCCCCACCCAGCAGTTATGGCATTCTGATCCAAAATCCCCTGTTTGTTTTCATCCACCATGAAAGCATGCTGCAGCTGACTGAAGCGCTGCGCTCTACAACACAAAGTTCCCCACGATGACGCCGATCACGAAGAACAGCAGGATTAGGGCCACGGAGCGGGCGCTCAACCCTTCCTCCCGCTTCATGGAGCCTGAGGCGTGCGGGGATGACATGATGTTGCCCTTCCTCATCCGGAGGCCGTCATCCTCCTGAAACGGGATGGAAGAGATGAAGAAAGAGGAGAAAGAAGGGTCAAGTAAACACATGACAGGATGAAAGGGGGGAATGAAATAACATCAGTCAGAAGAATTAATGTCAACAAGGGGTTAAGAAATGGCCGATGTCAATCAGTTTGATAGGACAGGAGTTTATTTATCAGCTCTAAGAAATAAGATCTGCTTAAATTTTCATCTGACCCAATCCCCGGAGGACCGCAAAAGGCGCCAGGCTTTAACACACTTCATTTCCCAGCAGCGGGTGGGGCGGGGGCTCTGTTAGTTTAATCTGAGCCACGGGAGCAGCCAACTTTCGCTCTGCCTCTGGCTAAAACCTGAAGGAGAGGGACGGCGGTGATGTTTGAGAGGAGGCCGACTCTTTCCTGGCAGCCTGCGGGGAGCGCGTGTGACTCATGCCCAACCAAACTTTTACAGAACCCATTTTCAAACCTTACCTCATTGATAGTTGGGACTGATTGCAAACTCATTGATTCAAATTACTCATTGCAGAAGTGGGCTGTTGAAGGGTGGAGGACTCGGCTTTGTTCGACTCCACAAATCGCTTCATTTGCTCATCTTTATCATTATTTCTCATCAGTATTTTTTTTTAAATAGAAAAAACGACTGCTATATTCATTGAAGTGAAATATTGAATTAAAAAAAATTCAAATATCTGAAAAAATGTCAATTTTAGATGTTTCTTGTGATGTTAGTTTCACTTTCTAAACCGAATTCTCCCATTATGTCATATTTTCCTTAAATGAAACAGTAAACTTCGGATGAATCCTCAATCTGAAACTATTTGTCTTTTATTCCGAAAACAAGATTAATTCCTGCTACACTATTTTCTACACACTTTTCTAGTAACTCAGAAACTACAGATATTATGGATTGTTTACCATAGAAAAATCATATTGATTTCAGGTAATTATGTACAATTTACTCAGTGGCACCTTTTTTTTTATTAAAAATGTCCCAATAAAAACAACTTGACATTTATCGACTTGGTACACATCAGTTCGTTAATATAAATTTCTGAAGAACTTAGCAAAAACATCTGACAGCGATCTAATGCTGGCCAAGGTCTAATAAAAAATGCTCTGGATGGATGGATGGTCGTCAGGATGGCTGTGAAGAAACATTGAAGACAGGCTGAGATAGACTTGGAACATTAATTCAAATGGATCCCCTTCTAGGAACCCAAACCTCAGCGTCATGCAGGGAGTCACATGTAAAGCAGAGGACTGGAACCAGAACTGAAACCATATAAACTTTTCTAAACCACAGGCCCACATGTAAGAGAACCTCAAATTTAATTTCTGGAGGAGGGATGTGCTTCAGAAAATATCAAATTATATACAGTCTTTGTCAATCATGAACATCACAAAACTAAAGGTTTTTGAAATGTAATAAATTCTAGTTGAGAAAATAATTAGCAGTTAATATGTATGATTTTTGAGGGAGAGGTGTGATTATTTCTGTTTTTCTTTTTATAGAACATGTAGATCTATATTCAGAAGTGTCTATTATGAGCTCTCTATTATTTTCCAATACTTGCTCTTCAGAACAGTTTCTAGTCTATGAAGCCGTAATTCTGTCCTCCCGTATTCCAGAAAATATCCAGGAAGAAATCCTTAGTCATTTTATTCATTTTTTTCCTTTTCCGTTCTGACTGGCTAGCTCTGAGAAAATAAACGTGTTTAGAGTTTTGTATAAAAGCTATTTAACTTCATGCAATCAATCCATTGAAAATACAATCTTAACATCCCTTATATTAAGTATTGTCTTAACATACCTCATCCCCAAAGTGAATACTTTAACAAGAAAAAAAAGATAAATAAAATAAGCAGAGAATATAATGTATACTATGTATATAATAATTGTAAACAGGCTGCATGATGATGCTGAAAGGTTTGAACATTTGATCAGCTGTGTCCGTGAAGTTTGTCTGGAGGTCCTGCGTAACAAACATTTTCTATCCTCAGGAACAAATTTTGTTGCTGTAATAATTATTAGCTCTAAAGCTAACTCTGTTTAATTTTACAGGCATCCCAGTTATCCAACTCTGATTAAACACGTAATGCTGTCTAAGCAGTGTGTTTCCTATGAAACCAGTGAAACACACCATAGTCTGGTACCAACATGCTGAATATGGTAGATTATTCTGTTCTTGGTAAATACCAGATGTGCCATGCTTAGTAATCTGATGGGTTTACTTTGCTCGTTATTTTCTCTCAAATTTATTAACCTAAATAAAAAGCTTAAAATCAAAGCTCTAGTCAATTCAGGTGGATGTTCTTCACATTCCTGGAGGTCTAAATCTTCAATATTATGAAATTATAAGCTTCAAAGCTAAAATAATGTTGAATTTTTTTATAAACACCTACCTTAGAAAGGTTTACTGATATTGGGCCATATATATATACTTTTTGTAAAGATTTTTTTAGGCAGTAGCAGTTTATTTTATTTATTTTCTGTTATTTTTTAAAGTAGGTAAACAGGAAATGGTAACAGAGAAAGGGGGAAGACATGTGGCAAAGCTCAACAGACCAGGACTCGAATCTGCAACAGGCAAATCAAGGACCAAAGCCTTTGTTCATGGGTCACGCACTTAACCCCTGTACTGCTGCTGCACCCCATGGTGCCATATTTACGTTATACTCTCTCTAGTTTTTCTCATAGTAGCTTCATCTGGTCTGTTCCTGTTTGGCTTCGTCTCCATCAGCTGAAATATGAGCTGTGCTGCTGCCATCAAAACCTTTGTTTATAGATGTTGGAGATCTGACTGTGACTAACTGTACATGGGTCACACACTTAACCCCTGCGCCACCGCTGCACCTCAAGGTGCCATATTTTTATATCTCCGGCGTTGGCTAAATAGAACAAAATCTCTATTATATTTACTGAAGTTGAGCGCTAATGGGCCGTAAACTAGCAGAAAACTTTTAAGGTCATTCCTGATTCTTACATCTCTAAAGCCAGTCTATGATACTAGAGTTTTATCTTGAGTTCGGTTTGGGAACAGCTCTCTGGAAACTTTAAAATGAAAGAGTGGTGATCAGAAGTAAAGAAGTTTTTTTTTTTTACCAAATTTTTTGGGGGAGATAACCAATCACGTCCTTTATCCCACAAAAAACAACTGACTTTTAAAGCGAGAAACAATGAGTTGCATCTTTAAGGCATGTGCAAAAAAACAAAAAAAAAAACAAAACAGGATTTTCTTACTTTTGAATATCCGAAACAAACACGTGGTAAAACCAGAGAAAGAAGGAGAAGAAATTAAGTTATTCTGGTCTTCTGAGTCGTTTTACTCACTTTAATCTGTTTGTTTTCTTCCCGTAGCCTTTGAGCCTCCATCTGAAGCCGCTTACACTCCTCCATGATCTTTTTTACCTCTCCATCATCCAGGGTGGAACTCAGTGACTTTCCAGACAGCGAGGAGGACTCTGACTTCAGCAGGCTCGACGACATCTTGTTGGACTCCATGTCATGCTGTAAGTGGGTTACAGAGGGACAGGCTTTGATTCGATCAGTAACCTGGTACTGAAATGTTTACATGATGATTCTCTACAGCATCTTTGAGACAGAGTAAGAACCATCTGTTTACATTTGGAAGCCTTAACACTGCTCACTTACAACAGTGCAAAGACACACACACCTTTGTAGAAGAGTTCACCCAGGGGTTCATTTCATAAGAGGATCAAGCTGGTTTCCATCACCATTATTTCTGCCTAAAATACTCCGTGGCTTTCAGCCCCTACTGGGAGCCCAGTTAACTCAAAACAACCACTGAAAGCTGATTTTGCTCACTGTGTTCCAGCAGCCAGTAGACTAACCCTCCTATCTTTAATAAAATGCTGTGTCCACAGCTGAGCGAAATCAGGTACCCTAAGAAGAAGCACAAAAATAATAAACTTTTCCTAAGACTAAAACAAAGCGGCTTTCAAAAGGCATTAGGTTTGGCTGTTGAAGGAAAAGGGAGGGAATACAGAAGGAAATTGAAAAATAATTGAAAAGAGAACAACCAGAACGTGAAATTATGGAAAAAGAAACAAGAGAGCAGAAAAAGAAAATAAATATTCAGCCTCTCTGTACAATCTATTGTAAAGTGGTACAAATATGCTGGAAAGAAACATTTAAGAAAGACCCCAAATCTGGCAAAGTATAAGAAAGATATTTTAAAACCACATTACAAAAGTTTGAATGGCCTCATATGTATGGGCACTGTAAGAATATAATGAATAGAGGCAAATAGCTCACCGTTTTTTCGTTCTCCGCTGGCATCTCAAAAACACACCTCAGCTTAGAGTCCATCAACTCCTCTGGCTTTGCTTCTTTCCACTGGAAACGGAGAAGAACAGGAAAATAATGTCATTATTTCATTACTGGGAAATGATGGCAAATGAACCATGGCTAACTGCTAATGTTGCTAACACTATATTCACATGATTCAAACCCTCACAAGGAAAAAAAAAGGGTATGAAGGCTCTGAGTGATGTATATTCAGTTTTTTTCTCCTATAAATGATTAAACATAAAGGTAAAAACAATTTCAGAAGGATTATTTATGTAACATACCAGCTTATGACTCCTTTAACAAATCAGATTATTGTAAACTAAGAAAAAAAAAATATATTTGCAACAATAACCAAAAAGTCTTCAAACAATAATATTGGAAATCCTAGATAAATTTCATGAGCTTTAAACGGTACAGAAAAAAAATAACAGAACCATCATCAATAACCAATATTTCTTCATACTATAAAGAATTGTAAAAATTTGTATTAAACATTTTTCTTTGTGCAACCAGTCAATAATAACTGCTTTTTTTAATCAAAAGTACAGATTTATATTCTTTATTCATGTTAATTTTTTTCTTTTGCTTTTTTATATGTTGTATGAAATAACAGTAATAAAAACTCTTAGTTTAAGGAAGAAATGTAAAGTTTGACCAATTGGGCTCACAAATTTGTCCTGTTAATACTGTGACATTAGATTGCCCATTTACCCCTGCATAATGTTTAAAAACACAGAAGACAATAATAATAATAATAATAATAATAATATGACAGATTCAATTTCCTGCAGACTTTTTTCTGATTCAAGTTGTTATTTGAAAAGAAGGATAACAGGACTTGATTCTTTTTGAATTGATGCATGTTTTAGAATTAATTTAAGACAAAACTTAAAAATTAGGATTAAATATAAATGTTTTATTCATCAAGTCCAACAATGATACATACATTTTCCTGCAGCATACATTTAAGCTTGTAAAACTCTGTAGACACTTGTGTTTCTTCTGCCAAAAAGCAAAAATAAGTGAAAACTCTTTAAATCTATAACAGTTTAAATCTAATTCAAACATTTGTTTGCCCTCTTCAAAGATAGCAATATTTAGGTTTTGCAAAATTAAGTTTAAATGTATTACATGTTTCTCTGTGTGCTTGTTGTGGAAACTTTAACTTTAATTATATATACAAACCCCTCTATTGATGCTCTTATTTTGAAAGTTTTTTTTTATCCGTTTTCAAATATGAGGAAAAAGGTTTGGCTCTGGACTTGTTGTTCTAAAACAAAATAATCATTTATTGACAAACATCTTAGTGTTTACCTTCCTGTCTTGCCATGTAAAACATTCTGAACTTGATAATCTTTTTTAAATCAGTTTTACGGTGCGTAGGCTGGCCAGAAACAAAAGTGTCTGAGCTAAATGTGTTGTTGTTGTTGCAGAGCAGAGAAATGCAGAAGCACTGCTGCTGTTAGCAAAAGCTCCCAAACTACAATCAATCCAATTCAATTTTATTTGTTTAGCACTTTCAAACAAGCACGGCTGACCAAAGTGCTTTACAGAATAAATAAATAAATACATACATAAAACAGTACAGATAACAAAAAACAGCTAAAATATGGGTAAAAATAACATTCACAAAATCAAATCAATAAAATTGGGTAAAAGATAAAAGGAATACAATATAAAATAAAGCCCACTGTCTTGCTAGGTGTTAAAAACAAAACAGAAAAGGTGGGGTTTGACCACAGATTTAAAAACAGTCAGAGGCTGAAAAACTAGTAAAGGATGAGAAAAACTTACCACTCCCTCCATGTCAGTCATGTCAGGAGGTGCTAGCATGGACTGGACCATAAACTTGTGCTTGCTCTTTTCGTTGGGATCATATTCAAAAGGCTGCAACATGACTGAAAAACAAAACGAAAATCAATGTTAGGTAAAAAGGGAAACATCGATCGAGCTTACCAGAGTCAGAATATGATCCACTTTGCTTTTAAGGATTTTTTTTAAGCCACATTGAATCTGAAAAGACAAGGAACAAAACCACACTGCTGTTTTTAAAATAATCATTTTTCTTTCCTCAATAGTTTTAGATTTGTTTTACTGTCTACAGGCAGGATATTTTGAAGGCAAGTGTGTTTAATTGGGGATGTATTTAATAATTTCACAGGTCATTATAAAAAAAACCTGGCCTTCTAAAAAACTCACTTGTTACTGCATGAAACTTTGGTATTTGTTACCGACTGAGTCATGTGACACCCAGCTAACGTGTTTTTGGTTTGCTGATGTAGGATTTAACCAAAGGGGTAAATGTGGCCTTGAATTTAGACTCAGTGCTGTGTGGCGAAGTGGCTTATAGGAGTGCTTGACTGTTGTTAAGTTACAACTATAAGACCCCCAGTGGCTGAAAAGTTTCAGTGTTGTTTTAAGAGCCGGAGTTAAAAATATGAATCAATGACTGGTGATGCAACTAATAAATCAGCCAGTAACTGATATTGTCCAGTTATTTCCGTGATCTGCTGTAACTGGTTTTTAATCGGTTCAATGCAAATATTTTATTAATTGAATGCATCCTCAATGCACTCAAATTTTTCTTCACTATAAATGCAAAAAACAGGATGTTTTTTGTGTTACTTGACTTTAAATGAAGCAAAAGCAGATAAATGTTGGATCACCTGGATTCAAAACTACTATAGAGTATTTAAAGAAATTCTCACAATTATGTTGGTCGACATATGACTGAAATCATATGGTTTAGGTAATAACATCTCAGATTTTTTCACAACAAATCCAATGTATTTTTTTACCCCCTTTCCTACATACTGTGGGGGAAAAAAGGAAAGCACTCTTATTCCAAACGTTGCTTCTGGAAGTTAAACTCAATTCCAACTAAACACAAGCTATGAAAGCTGCTACTAAAACAGGCAGGCACACCTTTGTTTGAGAGCAACGGTCACAACGTACCACACCAACTGTTTGCAACTAGCGGTATTACACAACGAGCGAGTTTATCAGTATTTAAATTATGTCTGAGAACTAAAAGTGACGGCCTGATGCCACTCTGAACTACAGAACAAAAAAATCCAGATTTTCTGAATTCAAATCTTCAAAAATTGAAAAACAAAACACGAGTATAACTTTAAATAAGAATGTTATTTTGACCTTGACTCTATAGTTGTGTCTCTTTAAATATCGTTATTAGGTTAGATTGCAGGTTTCTATAGTTTTTACATTTTAATTATCTGACTTGTGAATTTGTACAAAATAATTATCAAATGATATGATAGGTTTTTTTTGTTCTTTTTTCCTTTTTTATTCTCTTTTATAATAAAAAAAGGAAACAGGACATACTGCTTACTTACACCAAATCCAGAACTCTTCTTCCCACATCGTTTTTGGAGTATCGCTTAGTTTTATTATCATAACCTTTGTTTATTTCTCACTTTCAGTCCCATGAAAATCCAGCATCAACAGATAAAACTGTACAGTAGACAAGTAGCACCACTTAAAACATGAAATGTCTCTCATTTCTTTAAATAGGTCAAAGGCTCTGGAACTGCTTGTACAGTTTGGAAAGAAGTGGTGGAAATCATTGGCTTCTTTTACCGTGGTGATGATGATGATGACGATACAGCGAAGGACCAACAGATTCCCATGGGGCTAATTTTTCTAACAACATTTAAGCCTTTTCCTCTCCTAGCATTACACGCTTCCCTAACAAAAAGCAGGTGTGGAGTTGGAATATTTCTCCTCAGCCTGTCTCTATATCAGTGCTTCTCGTCTGCGGTGTTATTTGATGTCATTGAGAAGCTATTCAAAGCCGTAAAAATGATTTACAGTAATCATTTACTCGTGTCGTCAAAAAAAGGGTCTGGAAAGATGAAAATGGCTATTAATGGTTTAGGATACCCCTCCCCTGGCTGCAAGCTTTAAATCAGGATGTAATCAAAAGACATATTTTTGAACTTCATCCACCATGCTTGTGGGATTTCTTTTCATTTCACTGAAAACAAATGACCTAAATTCAAAGCTGGTCTGGGTATCAGAGTGACTTTCATATAGGGCACATGCCAATGCTCCCGAGAGCAGAGTTGTGCGCCATTTCAGCAATCAATGTGGCTCAACATTGCAAATCAGAAACAGACGGCACGTACAGATTGAGAATGTCCTGTTTCAGTCAGTCCCAATTTGCACAACCATCTAGCTTGGGTCCATAGGGAGAACACCGGAGAATGGAGGCAGGAAAGCATGAACTGTTTTTTTCAAGTTGCAATGCACAGTGTTAAAATGATTGCTTGCGATTGGGAAAAGAAATGCACCGATCATAGGGGAAAGAAACAGATTTTAAATCATCTTTTACTGTCGGCTTCAGAAAGAGCTAGTTATTCAGGTAGTTTGATTTGTTGCTCCTGTATGATGCTAGATTTTTATTAAATTTAGCAGCTAAAGGTGACAAACATGGCAAGGCAGGAAGGTAAACACTAAGATGTTTGTCAATAAATGATTATTTTGTTGTTGCTGTAGAACAACAAGTGCAGACCCAAACCTCTTCCCTCATATATGAAAATTATTTTTTTTAACTTTCAAAATAGGAGCATCAATAGAGGGGTTTGTGTATATATATATATATATATATATATATATATATATATATATATATATATATATATATATATATAATTAAAGTAAAAGTTTCCACAATTTATTTATTTATTTATTTTTTACAAATATTGTCAAGTCCTCCTAATAATTAACCAAAATTAATTAGCTTTATTTAACAGCAGATGAGAAGATATTTTTCAAATACTTTGCAAGGACATTTTTTGTTAAAAGAGTTTACATTTGTTCCCAGCTTATATAAAGCTGTATTTACATTCAAAATAAAACAGTGCTATGATGGGATGTCTGAATGCTCAGGTTGTCTGTAAAAGGTGCAAACAAATATAAAGTGGTTTCGTTCATCATTAAATCTGTAAAATAAGAAAATAATGTGTAAACTGGTGCTCTGAAACCTAAAACAATGCAGAATAGAACAAGACCGAAGGTGAACTCAGTGTAACACATGAAACTTGGTGCAGTTTGTGAAAGCTTTATATGTAAAATAGGAAAGCTTTCCTAAAAAACAAAATGCTGAAAGAACTGCCATCTTGCTGCTTTAAAATCTTTATTTTCACCTTCAAGGGACTAAATGATTATTATAATTCATCTTTTTTCATCAACCTGTCTGTTTGTTGTTCTAATAGCACCACTTTGGGATGAGTTAAATGCATAGGTCAATTTCTCCAATGTGAGATCAATAAAGTTTAATTATTATTATTATTACTAAATAAATACTAACCTCCACATCATATAAAGTCTGGGATTAAAGAACAGAGCATTGTCACAAAAGGTTGGCTGAAATATTGAGCTTATGGCAAAACTAACCAGGTTATGAACTCAAAGTTATTAAATTTATTCCACTTTGTATTTCTCGGGGATACCATGCCCTTATTCCCCTGATTGTGTGCTTCTGAGTCTGTCTTATTCAATTAAATCTGAAAAGGAAATAAGAACAGACGCTACAGCTTGAGATGAGAAATAACCTGCAAGTCATCAGCTTCCACTTTATAGGCTGAGCGTTGTTATGAAAATATAATTGACTTGGAATGGAGCTGGTGTGCCCTCTGATTATTAGGAAGGATCACACATTACTCAGAGACTTTAGAGTTGAGATATTGTATAAAATATCTTCTGTGGACAGATGAATCACTCTCTTGTTCAGTCAAAACAAAAGCCCACAGGAAATAAGTGTAAGAATAAGGTAGTAAAATAATAAAACTACTCTTAGCTGCCCATACTGGTGATAGAAATATCTAAAGCCATCTATATAAATCTTAGTGTTTGTAAATATTTTTGAGTTATACTTTTCCACATGATGTTAGCACCAATCATGAACAGTGACATTCTGGCTTCAATCAACCTCAGAATATAAGTATAGAAAGCATGAGAATAATGAGCAATGTTACAGCCTTACATGTTTCATGCACATACATCTCTGCTAAAGGAAAACTTTAGAAATGAAATGTTTACAACCTTTTAAATATCGTAGTGCTTTGATTACTTTCAAAGCAGCTGCAATGAATTATTACAAAGGCACTGCAAATATATAAATGAGTTTTATTTTAGTATTAAATCTCCTACAATAGCAACAAGCAGCAACGCTGACTTTAACATAGACTTTAATAAACTAGACGAGGTTTTAGTTGATCATGCTTCGCCAAATACGGTTTGAGATAGTCGGCTTCAATAATAATCTACTGCATGGTTTACTTAATGACACTTGAATTGGACACCAACATGGATATGGAAGACCTTAATACACCTGGACTTCTATTTAAAAACATGTGCTTCGTTTTTTAATGGTACTTTTCCTGAAATACAAGAACCTGCATGTCACTGTTACCCTGTCAGCTGCAGGGCTTAGAAAACACCAAATAGGCCACAGTACTGGAAATAGAAGCTGGTGACAGAGCAAACCTGAAGGTTACCAGTAAAATTAGATTCTAAGACGAGAAATCCTGGTTTGAGAGCATTTCAGCCTAATAAGAGTAAACATGACAGCAGCTGAGATGGGACTTAGCTTGTGGCATACTGCTGACAGCGAGCAGTAACTCAGTCTGTGGTTGCTGTCACCAGATAGGGCAGGCTGTAAAATGAGCGTATGGCTGGGGTGTCACAGCATGGAAACATTAGTCTCCATCAGTCTCTTTACAACAGCTTGAGTAGAAAAGCTGTCTGGCAGTCTGGGTTTTTTGAGGATATCTTTCAGAAACTTTTTGTTTTTTTTACAGTTCCTGAAATTTTATGTCAAAATATGTCATATATTACTTTAGATTAATTAAAAACTATCGAACAATTTACAATTAATATGTTTTAGCCCTGACAAAAATTATCATGTAAATTGATTATTTTAATAATCATCAACTGATTAAGTAATAATAAAAAAAAAAACAATAAACAGAGTATTCAGACATGCTATTTACTTTAAAATACATAGCTTCTACAATTACTGCATGGATAATTAATTATTGGAATGTAGTTTAAATGACAGCTAAAGGCTAAAGGAAATTTTAAATAAACAAGCAATAAAACTTCAGGGAAAATGTGATAATCCCAAGACAGCACTGTTAATTTCTACTTACCAGAGACGTTGATTGAAGTGCCGGCGTCAATGATGCCACTGTTAGGCCGCACGCAGTACCGGCGGGGCGCTGTCGTCTTGACCTTAAAACATACATTCCTGTCTGTAGGGTTGGAGAGCTTAAGATTTGTGGTGACCACGTCTGAAAACGGACCTGTGAAGAAAGCCAACAGAAGAGCGACTTAAAAGGTTTTTTTTAATTCAGGAAAATCTAACTATAATCAACCTTTACAATCTTTAAGTCAAGGTAGACACTGGTTGAAAAAATAGGGGAAAAAAGGAAATCTTTTAGAAAGAAAACCACGGACAAAAGCTGCAGAAACAGTCTTGGTATTTTGTATGTAAAGGGGGTTATGATCAGGGTGACCACACGTGGTCAGGTTTACACTTTTCCTTGGTCAGATTACTGGAATGCCAAATACAAGAAACACAAGATTAATCAAATGAGACGGATGGAGAATAAGCTGTGACTGGCACACAGCCTCAAACAATCTAGTCCTAAACCTATGCCATAAGAAAATAAAGCAATAAATCAAACGTTCAAGAGCCATCGAAATGCACATCCATCATATGCTGCTGTAGGATAAACAATCAGATATCACAGAATGAATAAGACAAACAAACTGACTCTTTACAGGTGAAAAACTGGATGTTGTTAACATTACTTCTCACTGTAAACCGATGTTTAACCTTTCCCACATGGTTAACAGAAGAAAGGGATGTTTTAAACTCACTAAAAACATAGTTATGCTAAATAATCTAAAAGATCATGTTCTTATTTTACTGTAAAACCCAAACCGGGACGGGCTAATTTACTTCAATTAATTACAGCCCTCAAAGATGCAGTCCACATCCCTACAAGGCTCTTATCAGCCCCCAGCATTAAGCTGCATAGATTAAAAACGCAGTAAACTGGAGCTACTCAGCTAAAAGTGTTAGCTAAACTTGAATTATTAATGATATTTGGAGAACTGAGTTAACAGTGTTTTTGTAACAGTGTTTGTAGCACTTCTAAATTAAAAGATTTGAAATTAAATGGTAATGCTGGACAAGGAATCTGGTCTGAAGGTTTCATTTAGCTGTGAAAAAGAAAATCACTGCATGTGGTTCTTCTTGTGCCCCAAAAAAATAATATATATATACATATATCATATGTAAGTTAGCTGATTCAAGCTTGATATATTTTGAAAGCTTTCTTAAGTTAAAGCTTGGTTGATTACCCTAAACAACCTAATGTCAGCTTTCAAACCCAAGTAGAAATAGTGTGTGTATATGTATATAATTTAAAAAAAAATGTCTTGGATTACAGTTTACATCCTGATGAGCAACCTGATATACACAGTGCCGACAGACAGCTTTCAGAACCTTTGCTTTGCCCTCTTCAGCACTTTTTCTCACTAGTCTGCAAAAAAATCTCAACAATAAAAAAGCAAAGAATTTTCTTATTAGTAATTTGGTAACAATTTCTTTAAAAAAAATGAAATACACAGTTTGTTAAGCATGTACTTTAGAGCAGATGTCTTTATAAAGAATTTGTATAAACGAATAATTAAGCTTCTCTCCCTTAATGAAGATTCTATTAGGAGTAAAAGTGCAACGAATGTTTACATTTAACTAAGTTAAATTACATCTTTTTTCTGTAATCTCACTGATACAAAATCAGAGCCTTATTAAAATGAGTTGGCATCAATAGAAAGAGACACTTATTCATTTATAAACCACAAAAATCAACAAATTCTGTAGAGGCTAAGGATGCTGTCAAAGTTCAGACTATGGCTCTTTTTATGAAAATACTTTAAGGTTATTGACCTTAGTAAATAGTAAAGGATTTAGAGGCTAATGTGGCTAATAGTAGCATGAGCAAACAGCAATAAATGCTGTACCCAAACAGAAACGGACAAGCTGAGCTGAAAATATCCAGAAGCTGTGGGAACCTGACCTGCTGAACTTGACAAAAAAAAACGAAAAAAAAAAACATGCAAAGTCAAAAATGGAAAAAGATGCTGTTAAATACATCCTTTGTACTGCTAAACAAATCAAGTCAGGTCCGTGTTTACATTAATACGGAAACTCAAAATTCCATTTTGACTTCTAAGAAGACTATTTCAATTAAAGTTGATTTTTTTAATTAAGAGCAGGATTATTATATTTTGACCTTATTTATACTGCCTATCAATAAAAGCTAGGGTTTGGAGTTATCAACGTATTAATTAATCTAAAGTTAATTGATCTTTTTTGCTCGACTAACAACAAATAAGCTCTTATTTATTTCAAACCACATTAATTGCATTTTCAATATAATCCTAATAAAAATACAATCTTCAAATCACAGAGACAATTACTTTTTTTTTTTTACTTTACACTTAACAAGAGTAAGACACTGACTTTCTCACTCCAGTCCTTCAGGTGGCGGTAATGCATGTCTAGTGGGTTTGCTGCAACATGGAGGGGAAGAGAGAGTTGCAGCTAGCCTCAAGATCCATGCATGGAGGTAGACGTAAACAGTTTCCGATTGTGGCCAACAAAGCATTCATTGAAGCAATAAAACGGATGGATGGATGGATGGATGGATGGATGGATGGATGGATGGATGGATGGATGGATGGATGGATGGATGGATGGATGGAAAATCCCCTTAATCAGCTAATCATGAGAAATGTAAATAAAACCCCATACTAGGCTTCAACAGAGGCAGTTATAATGAGGAGAACATTTAAAATGGGGTAAAACAAAGTCTAACTAGACAAACCAGGGACAAATACTGGATTTAAGATAAGGTTTTAGCTTAGCAAACATCCAGAGCAAAGTGACACTTCCCTTTGCTGTTGAGCAAAGACAGAGGGTAAATTCAGACCTTCATAATCTTGGTTTGACATCTAAAAACAAACTTTAATGAAAGGAACACACATGACTCAAACAAGTTTAACATCTGATCTACTGAGAGTAGTTTGGGGGAAGTCTCCAATTCCTGTACACCACCAATAAAAAATTGAAACCCAAGAAAAACTGATGTTTAAGACTAAATGTAGCTAGATTTTATACATCAAAGACGTTTTTCATTTTTACCAATGAAAAACAGGTGAGAAGAGTTAGAAAGTTCAAGGCTTGGTTCTTATGGAAATTGGATTTAGATGGTACACAAAAGGGCCAAGTTAAAACTAAACTGTCCCCATTTCCTTAACAAAATGTTCACCCCATGTGCCGACTTATTACTTAAGGCTTAAGTAGGAGCATGTGATTTATTGTTATTGCCTAGTGCACCAAAACAAAATTCTTTCCTTCCCATAGATTAACACAATTAAACTGAAAACAACCCATACTAAATCCTCTTTAAATGATTTAAGATTAAGGATTAAAACCTTGAAAGGGTTTTAAAAAAAGAAAAAGAAATATAAAGAAAACAGAACTTATGTAGATAGGTTGCTGTTTTTACAGTCTGCTGTTAATATTTTATAATGAAAGATAACTTAGGATTATCTAAAGTTGTTGTAAGGTGATGTCAAATGTGACAACAAACAATGCTTTTACAGGTAAAGTTTTTGCTTTCATTTTGTAAGCAGTTAAACGATTAGATGTTATTTGCACAGCATGTATACATGTGTAATTACCTAATATCCAATATGTTTACTCGGTGACAGGTAGTTTGTATCAATTATATAATAGTGTGATAAATACAGATAGTGTATCAGCAGTGTAATCAGTCAAAAACTGGCGCTTTTTTTTGTTAATATTGTGAAATAGCAGTGACCCATGTTAAATAAAAAACACAAAACAGAAGGCTAAGCGGCTACAGGATTGGAAAAACAGAGAAAGTGACAAACAACAGATAAACAAACTATTTTAGCCAGGTTTGTGGCCTTGTGTTTTCACCTCTTTCGGTGACACTGACCTGGTATGTTGTTCAAGCAAAAACAAGATCTCGCCAGAGATTAAACAATTGCATTTTCTCTTTATCAAAGTTCTAACGTTTTGTAAAGTTTTGTTATTCAAAACAATCTTCGACAGCCTGACTGTGGGTGTGACAGCGGATCTAGCAACTAACTCATTGATAAGAGTTAATTATTGTTAGTATGATATCGTTAGCGTCATGGTCTAGAGCAGGGGTCTTCAATGTTTTCCAGGCCAAGGACCCCCAAACTGATGGCGAGATGGAGGACCCCTAATTATTGTATGAAATTGTGTTATATCAAGCTGGTCCTATAGTCACTCTATTACGGATGGAGTCTTGTAACAAAAGTAGTTTCACCCTGGGAATATTAAAGTATTTCTGATTGTGATTACTGGTTGATGGGACAGATGTTGTGAATGAAACGGTGCCCAGCTTGAAAGAGCTCC